GGGACACGCCGAGTGTTCACCGGACCAAGGGAGGAACTCATGCATTCGCATGCCTTGGCGGTAGAGCATTGACCTCGCAAGCGGGGACGGAGCGATTTGCCGGGCTCGCCGGCCTCTCAGGCTAGCATACATACGAAACGCAAGGATGATAATCATCCTTGCGAAAACGGGGGGGGGGGGGCGAGACGGGAAAAACGCCTTACAAATCAAGTCCAGGGACGCGGTACAAGAAGGCGTTGTTCTCGGGCGTAAAAGAGAAAGAGGTGAAGTGGGACTACCATGGTGGCCTCGAACCCGAGGTAAAAGGGTATAAGGTGGCCTCACGAGCAGAGTGGTGGCATACACAGAACCTGCAGCGGCAACCATTGCAGCATCCGCGTTAGCAACACGCCCCATACACTGCTGTACCGATTATTTACACACCACAACACTTACACATACAGACAGGAGGTTGGCATACGAGAAAAGCTCACTCGCGGAAAAGCGAAGGCGCAAAGTGATTTTTACCTGCACGACGAAGAGCTCGTTGCTGTTACCCACAAGCTTGGTCAGCATGTTGCTCTCCCCCGTGGACATATCGTACCCCTTCAAATCGTCCCACCCAGCGTCGGCACTGGGTGGCAGAAGAACACACGAAGGCAACAACAGAAAAAAATAACAACAGGTGGGTCACATGAGGGGGGCACACGTATGCGTAGTAAATAGTAAATAGTTGACTGAAAGGAAACGTGGAAACATCAAATGCTGTAAAAAAAAAGATGTAAAAAAGTGAGAAACTACAGCAATGCGTCATCGCCGACGTCTACATCACAAAATTAATAAATAACAGACATCGACAAAGCTGTCGAAACCGGTGGAGGTGCTATGACCGAACGCTCACGCTTTGGGGGCGAACAAAAACTATATTCATAATACGACTCCTCGATGATAACCTTTGCAGCGAGAATAGAACAAACAGAACAGAACAGAACAGAACGGCGATTTGGCGAAGAAGGAGAACTGGATACATCGTATGCTGGTCTACGTCGCGAAAGACTCTTTGGTAACATGGACGCGGAGTTTGGAACGAACATGAGTGTTGTTGATATACGTCAACTGTTGATAAACGTTAACTGCCTCTATATCTGTGCGAATGCCTGCAAGTGGTGTAGAACTGTACATGTACAAACAAAAAAAAATGGCGCTCGTATTGGAAAATCAGACGAAATCAGTGAGTAGTCCTGTGAACGAGGACGAAGAGAATACTTGACAACAATAAAAACACACTTTACACGGAACTCAAGTGGAGACAGCAGCGATTTGTGCATCCCAGTCCTACAACCACATACAGCAGTTGTTGTTGTTGTTGTTGTTGTCTTCACATTAAAGACCGTTCCGATCTCTCTCTACCCAGTACCTTCGTATGTCCGTACTGATACAACACTCAACGCGGTCGATTCCCGTGGTCGCAGGCTAACTTACCCTAAAAAGGTACACTCAAATAAAATGGCCCCGAGGGGTCCGCAAGTCAATAGAAATCAACGACAGATATTCTGGAGTCCTCCACTCCCTCTGCGCGCTATACAAGGTATAACAACTGAGACTAGGAGTCACCATCACGGGCCGGAGAGAATGAGGTACACCCCATTGGTTCGAACTTGGTACTTAACAACGCAAGCAGAGACAGGGCCGTCTGGTACAGAAAAAGAGAAGAAAATAAAAGGAAACAGTAAGGAACGAGAAAATGAAATAAAAAGAGCGAGGACAAAAAGGGACCAGGCCGAAAATAACAAGAAATAAGAGACAGAAAAAGGCACAGGGTGGAGAGACCACTAAATAACGACAAGCAAACACGCAAACATGGCCACCAACCAGCGATACATTGAAATGGTACGTCATCACTAGTGGGGGGTTGGTGCAATGGCGCAGCGTTAGGGGGGGGG